GTGCAAATGAGCAAACTGAGGGGACGGGCGTCCTGCCAACAGTCCCACGTGCAGGTTCACTCCTAAGAGGAACCTACAGGTTATAGCCGAAAGGCGCAATAAATCTTAGGCTGAAATGACAGCCAAGCCTTCAGCTCCTGCCGCAGCTCCTGCTTTGAACTCTCAACAAGTAGACCTGGCGAGCGCGATCAAGTCACTCTAACTAATTATTACTCCTCTGATATATTTTTCAAAGACACAAAAAAGCGCCGTGGTGCCCCTCCAGAGATTACTGTGGATGATGTTTTGATACCATGGGCTAACAAAGCTAAACACTCGACAATGGTATGACTCGGCAGTCACACATTGTCCTGTACTTGTATCCTCTTTTATGTAGAACATCAAAATTGAGTTTGGTCAATAAGATTCGGATATACAAAATCATCATCAGACCTGAAATAACCTATGCATGTGCGGCTTGGTGCTTTTTAGCTAAGTCACATATGCGTAAACTACAAGTTCTGTAGAGTAGAACTATCAGAACAATAACTAATGCCCCATAGTATGTATCAAACGATACCATCCATAGAGATCTTGACATCCCCTGCCTTAAGGATTTCATCATAGGTATGGCACAACGACGCTACCAGCAAGCGGAATCGCGCAGCAACCCTTTGTTGCGTGAAGCAGTGGATTACACAGTCGATGAGATACGCAAACATTCCAGGCCGCGACACGCACTGTGAACAAAATTAAATTGATGTTTATACCTTTAAAAACTATAGTTTTCAAAAACTAAAGACCAAAATTCAGTTCAGGACAAGTCAAAAATGTATATACTACAATGTAACAATTCTTAGATCTATCACACCTCAAATATTTACATAAAACAATTCCTTTTCTTTCTCTTCTCGCTACTACTTCCTTTCTTTCTCCCTCTCCCCTTTCCCCTACAACTTGTCTGGTTTCTGGGCCACCAGACCTGACAGACTAACGACAGACACTGACATTACAGTGACTATGACCTAAAGGCTAAGGTCCTCCGGACCGCCTTGAGAAGCAACGACGAGTAGTAGTCGCGGATCCAGGGACGATCATGATCCCCCACTGGGCGAATCTAGTTTGACCATTAATACATTAATGACTTTCGAATCTCTTTGATAAAGTACAGACCTTTGCAAATATGTGTTGTTTGCAAACGGGTAAATAATTACCAGATTTGATCAAAAATCACATCGATTTGTTAGCGCATCGATGATGGCGAGGAAATAAGAGGGTTGCTTAAGTATGGTTGCCTATATGTTCGGCTTGACGTAAATATAAATAAAATAGTGATTCTGAGTTTTCGGCTTGGTAGCGCTGCATATCCGTTATTGCAGTATTGGAAATTGAGCCTCAGGTGTTCTGTGATTAAGGTAGTTCACTGAAAATTTAGTCACTCGGACAGGAATAAGAAAAATCTGTTTCGGGCGTACCTTTAACGCTGCAAGCCAATTTGATAAAAATACATTTTGACGGACAGGCTTTTGATTGGGTATGTTTTGTTGATTGTGTAAAACAATCGCAATAAATTTCTCTCTCGCTCTGCTTTAAATCGAGAAATCTCCCCTGATCACCCTATACAATAATTTAGTACATCACATCATCGTCTGCTTTATTCACTTTATCTCTGCAGTTTATGAATCACTGATTTCAGAAACACCCTCAGCCATTTTTTAGTTATATACTATACGCCGCAAGAAACACGTAGACCTTCCAACTGAGCGTACGTGAAACCTAAGTCCATTAAAACAAACTCATTTTGCCGAAAATATTGCCTGAGCACAGAAACACCTCTAGCAAGTGACTCAAGTTGGTTCTACATACATTAGGGAGTTATTGTACGTCCAATAAAGTCAGGGACTAATAACTCCTAGCCGTATTTAACACCTGAGCAGGCGCAGTTACAGGATGTTTAAAATCCTGGCACAGCTATTTCCTTCTTTTTTTGTGCGAATAACCTTACTTTTTATAGTAGTTTTCACAAATTAAAGAAATTATACAGGGTCGGTAGTTTCGTTTGCCGTTTTCTCGCTATTATTTTGTACTGTTCGCTTATTGTTTAATTGGTGAAAACCCTTTGGCCGTAACATTCAGACCGAAAGACTGATATTTACGAAGAAGTTCAAAAACAATAGCAAAACTTCATAATTAATAAGATTATTGGAATTAAATCAGTCTTGGTACAAGTTTTAAGCCAGATAAAAGTTTAATTTATCCCAATATTTTTAGGTTGGAAATTTTGTCATCGGTGCACCCAACCACACAACCACCCAATAACTCTAATTCTTAAACAATTTTAAGATCAGTCTCTACTTATCATTATTAGTGTAAGGTCGGTATTAATGGTGGATGGCAGTATTTCAATAACTTCTTATCTTCGCACGGGGAAGTTGTTATTGTTGCGAGATACTATATTGGTGGTCTTGCAGAACACATGTTTCTCTTGCTTCTGCCAGGAGTGATGACTATTGATTTTCCAGCAAATCTTGCCATCCGCGACGGAAACATTCACATTTCTGATAAAAATGGTGCACATAAAGAAGGCTTATTAATATGTGAATAGAAATTAAGATGCCCAGTACTTTTCGAGAGAAATTTTGGAGTCTGCGACGTTTGCGAAAAAGTTATTTAATCAATCCTTAAGTTTATAGTTAATTGTGTTTAGTTTGATTTTGTGAATGCTTCGTTCTATTAAAAGAAAATCAGTAATACTTTTAGTTACAGTTTGTTTAACACAGAAACCACCAAGTCATGTGACATTTGACCTTATGACCTTTAGTGACACAAAGATATTTAAAATGTTTGAACGTTTTCTTTAACCTATCCACCTATTGTACTAAACATTTATGTTTAAATACTAATATCACTCAAGGACACCAATCAGTTTTTTCTTATTATTTCAGAACATGTGCCTTGTGACATATTCCTGCAATAAGTTATTCATATGGTTATAAAGTTCTCTCTCGCTCTGCTTTGAATCGAGAAAGCTCCCCTGATCACCCTATACAATAATTTAGTACATCACATCATCGTCTGCTTTATCCACATTATCTCTGCAGACCATCTTCTTTTTCACATCGACCGTGAAATACGCATATCCTCGGCCATATATTCTTTAATCTTCTTCCAAGAAGCACGACCTCCGATTCTATCTTTCGATCTCCTTCTAACACATGCAAAAGAAGAGTAGCACGAAGCTTTTTTTATTCAGCTCTTAATTTTTACATGGTGGTCATTTTTTGGGTTATCATTGGCAACAGGTATTTTTTTGTGTCTAAACTGTTTAACTGCATGCTTCTCGCAGTCATTGTTACACGTTTCTATAAATTGTTTGTAGAAAACAAGAATACGAGAATCATTCATCAGCACAATGAATTGAACATGCAACAATTTCAGGTACACATCTAAATTATTCCCTAAGAAAATTACCTACTACCGACCTCAACATTGAATTTCCTTCAACAGAGTGCACAAAAACCATTGCCAATAACCAGTACATCATAATACACCATAAAAGAATTGCCGAGGAGCGACTTATACGAGGTGTGTGAATTAAGTGATGAGACTGGAAACGTAGAGTTCGATCTGGCAACACTGGAGGTGCCGGACTTGGAGGGGAGACAGGGGAATATGTAATCCGCCTTCAGTACAAGTTTGAGCTCGCTCGAGTCATTTAGTTGCCCGTAGCTATTTTTTTTTTGTGAAACAGTTTTTTCTATTGTGTTCTAAAAATGGGTGACATCAACTTCGAGCGACATTGTGCTATCAGGTTTTGCTTTTTTTGGGCACAGTGCAACGGAAACTTGCTAACCTACAGTAAGCCTACGGATATAGTGTTTTGTCAAGAGCCCAGATTGGTGGCTTAAGGCATTTTCATAAGAGAAAGAGAGAGAGAGTTCGATTGAATATGAACCACGAATGCTCCTTGCCACAAAGCAATATCAATAAACGAATTTGTGGCCAGAAAAACATTCGTGCGACTCCTCAACCTCTTTTCGCCTGACTTGAGTCTTGGTGACTTTTTTCTGTTCCCGAAGATGGAAAATCATCTCAAGTGTGTTTGGGACAGCCGAAAACATTCAAACGGCTGTAACCTACCAGCTGAAGGCAATTCCAGTATCCGAGTTCCAGCACTGCTATGTGGAGTGGAAGAACCATCTCCAGCGCTCTGTGGCTTCAGATGGTAGTTATTTGGAGGGTGACAATATAAAATTATAATTTTATTTGGATAAAAAAACAAAGAAAGATCAGACTCGTCACTTAATTTGATAAGAACATTCGAAGAAATTCGTCATATATATGGAAAATTAGATCCTTTACATCGTTTGATTTTTTTGGTGGCTTGCCTACACAGGCGAGTCCAATAAGGATTACCTCTTTTACAGTTCCAGTATTTGCATGTGCCGTGTGAAACTAGCGATAATGCTACGCCATCTCCTGAGCCAACATACAATGCAATTTGGAAGTTTCCTGTAGTCGAAAATGCTGCTAAATAAAACGCTTATCTTTAATAAATCTCAAAGTACTTTTGCGGTATCTTTTAATTTGAGAAAAGGGTAGCTAGTTTTATTTCATGTGCACAGTTGTAGTCTGTTATGCTCAATCGGTCAGTTGCAGTCGTGACGTCATCATCCAGACTACTGTCTCGCAACGTTTATGAAAGGGCTTGATAGGAGAAATTCAATAAGTGGTCTTTACTTTAAATTCAAAACGGTGAATCTAGATACTCAGGTTTTCTATCATGATTATGAGTTGAAGTTGCATTCACACATAATTTCTTTTGTGTAGCTATCATGGCTTATATTTGTTTCAAGAGAAAAAAAGGCAGTCTCAAATTTCAGGCGATGGCTAACACTACTATGTTTACAATACTTCAAGTCTGTCATAACGTTCACTCTTGGAAACGCCACTCTGTATAGAAATATGTTAAGTTCCTCATAATATAAGCAGGTGTTGTGAACCGGCTTACCCAAAGATCTCAGACGGCTGGTCATCCTCGAACACCGCGATCTTCGTTTGTCTCTAATTACCTTTAGTCCGGTACAAAAGGTTGTAGCAAGCTGTGAGCATCAATCGTTTTTTTTTTCTGATCACCAATAAAGCAAGTGGAGATTAACCGGTAAACGAATGAACACGAATAAAGTGATGCGTGGGATGTAGGGGATACCACGCAGGCGATGCTTAAAAACAAGTGAGCATCTATTGGTTAAGCAGAGGAACAAACTTGATTTTCATTTGTTTCTGATTACCTTCGGAGTATATTAACGAACCGCGATCTTCGTTTGTCTCGAATTACATCAAGTCCGGTGCGAAAGGTAGACTGTGCTGAAGAACAAGTGCCGGGTAAACAGATGAATAACCTTCATTTTCGTTTTGTACTAATCACCAACTAAGTGGTACGTGAGTTGCAGGGGATTTAAAGTTGGCTATATGCTTGAAAACAAGTGAAGATCGATCCATTAAACAGATGAACAAAAGTGACGATCAATCGATTGAGAGATGAAATGATTCAATTATTAAGTTAAACTTAGTGATCAGGGATTCAGCATTTGTTTTTTTGAAAGATAGAAGTAAGCCATACCTACAAGCAAGTGACGATCTATTGATTAACCGAAGTAATGATGCGGAACTGATTCAAGGTTACAACCGAGGTGCGTATATAGTGTGCTTGTGCTGATCTCGTTTTTTTCGAAAAATGTGGAGGACGTTCTTCGCGATGGTGGCCAGTATTGCGTTGTTGGGTGTGATCAGTGCTTTAGGGCTTGAGGGGCAAATACCGATGGTTGAGAGAAGTGGTGAGTATTTTGGTAATATCAAATATTTGAAAAAAAAACAGTGACTACCATACATAGGAATAACATAAGAATTTTGAATATAATATACAAGGTAGGGTGTTTATTAAATAATTGAAAACTCCCATAACATGACAACCTCGCATTTCTTGGAAAAAAAATTCTGAGAAAAGGGTATCAAAAAGGAAATTTGTTGATGTCCTCAAGTATGACCTAGGCAATGACCCTTAGAGACCATTTTTGACAGTAGATTCGTGTTATGCTCACGATTCTATATTAGAGTGCATTTTCATACATGAGGCTAGGCAGTCATAAGTGGTTCAATTAGTATGATCTACTAAAAAGTACACGAAGACCCCGAAACCTTGGCAACCAGTCATTTGTTTGAAAATAGGTTCTTAGAAAAGTTCTAGCATTTTTGAAAAGCAATTTGATGATGGTTTCAAATATGCCCTAAGCAATGGCAATAACTCAACTTATCATCAAGATGTTATAGTATGTTATATCAATCGATATTTTCCTTTTGGAAGTGTCTATCTGACTCAATAAAATGTGAGACATCCAGTTCTTGACAGTTCTATGAATGGGGTGGTTCATATTTAATTAGGAAGATTGATATAACATACTATGACGTTTCGATGCTTCGTTGTTGAGTCATAATCCACTCAATATGAAAGATGGAGATTTTATATTCTAGTATTATGAAAAATTATTGAAAAATGTTCCAAAATGGCGCCTAGTCGACATTTTGGAATTTTTAACAGCCACTTTTACCCTAAAATCAATGTTATTGCTTCCATTTTTAGCTTGGTGACTCAACCCGTTCAAAAAATGAGTAGGGAGGACCTTTTTGTCTGTCCAGTATTAATTTATTCCTCTATAACTCGAAAATTATACGACTCAGAAATTGAATGAAAATACAAGGTTCAATCTCCCAAACTATGGGTTAAACCTTTTTCTACTTTCTGAATCTTCAAGAGCATTGGTGGAGAAAACATCGGGCTCAATATTGATGTCACTACCGACGCTCATAGTGAGGTACAGAATATTTGTTTGTCTAGTATTTTCGAAAAGTTATATTTCTGATATTTCTCGAAGACAATCTTCTTGACTTCATTAAAATGAATTGAATGATACAGACTACTTTGCTATTACCTATGTGGAATCTACCTAGAAATCTCAGATGAACCTTCAAAATGAAGAGGAGAATAATATCCAGAACAAAAGATGATTGAACTAATGGTAGGTTTTCTAACCGGTCCTTACCTGCTAAAGAAATACGCTATAATAATAGTACTCCATTCAACTGTTTCTGATGTTAATCACCGATTATAATTAGTTATAATTGCATACGGTAATCCATTAAGTGGTGATCTCACATAGTACAAAAAAACACTAAGATTTCCTATTCTACCAGTGGTCATTTAAATTTTGATGTATTTACGTAGTCACGTACTATGGCAGTGAAAAATTAAGTCGAAAATTTAGACAAGGCGAAAACCACGCATTTATGGGTGAAACCAGCTCGTTTTTTTTTCAATAATCATGTTTTTTGGATGCCCGTTTTCATGAATCAAGAGGTGGTTGTGCGGTAACCTGTTGCACATTTGTTCAAACAATTTTTTTAAATAAATTACAAAAAACTGTGTTCTTTCTCTCCGGACAGTTTTTGTATTAATTTATTGGATCATTCTGAAAAAAGGATCTTTTCTACTTCTACTTTTCTCCAAAACCCTCGAAATGCCAATATTCAACGCTTTAAACCCTAGTTAAAAATCGGCATTTATGAGGTTGCCAAGTGTCTAAGTTAAAGTTGAGCCTTCCCGTACGAAATTTTGAAGAGCGTTTTGGGTTAGCTCATTATAAAGTATTGTTATGGAATTGTGTATAACGCGTGTGCCCTTGTAGAGTACGAAACATTCCGTACAATAGTAACTAAGTATAAATTTTAAACTCATTTTTAAGTTACGCACACCCACAAAATCTAAGCGGTATGCAGGGTGTACAAAAAGTATGGAAACATCAAAATTTCTGGAAGAATATGCATGTTATTTGGAGATCAAATTAATTTTTAACGGGATCGATCTGTTTTTGATACCTTAAATACAAATTGCGGGTAACTTTATGTTCAAGTATATCTTTAACAATGAGCTTGACCATGACCTTCAAGCTTATTTGAAGGGCAAATAAGTTTTGAAGTAAACTTTCTACTTTCTGTCCAAGTAATGAAAATAAAGAAACATTTTATGGTCAATGTCACTATCATGTACTTGGCCGTCATTTAAGGCTAAAATGGGATTTTTAACAGGATACTCCTATTCTTGCTATCGGAAAGGTAATTCCACATCCTGCTGAACCACTGACCATCGTAAAACCGTTAACGTAGTTGCCAAGGTCACGTTCAAGGTCACCATAATATGAACCTTTTTAAAACTTTTAGCATATTCTTCTACATATCTTGTCCTTTCCAAACTGTTTGCTTGTCCTAAAATGACCTTGAAAGTCAAGTCATGAACAGGGACTTGCCTGGACGTAGAATTTCCCACTCTGTACATTTCTGCTGTCAAAACTAGGGGTTGCCATCTAAGAAAACACTCTTGACCTTAAAATAACCTTCAATTTAATGGTTAAGGTCATGTGAGGCTATACTGTATTTTTCTCTATGGAATATATTTTTATTTTTATTATTTGCATCCATTTCGGATAATCCAATTCCAGGCTTTTTGGTTTTGATGGTTGGCAGAGTACCATAGAAGCAGATATTTTCTTTTTGCACGATGATGATGTTACAGATTGTTACGAGAAATCTGCAAGTGGACAACGTCTAGGCCCAAAAAGCGTTTACAGGAGATTCAACTGTACAATAGTCGATGAATGCAAGAAAGCGTGTACCAAGGAGAAGGAAGCATGCAAATCTTTCAGTTTTGGGTAAGTGAACTTTGAGGTGGAATTTGAAGATATTCCAGGATTTGAAATTAATCCTCAGCGTTGAATAAATGATTCCACCAACATTTCGTTTGCCATGGAAGTATTTGTCGAAGTCTAAAGTCAAAGAATTTTAAACTTATTATTATCGCTGCCAAACTAGGGAAGTTGGGTAAAATAAACAGACACAGTACAACTTTTGGACATTACTATAATCAATAATATAATTTACAGGTTATCACCAAAAGGAAACGGGACCTGTGAGTTAGGTACTGAAACAGTCAAAGAAACTGCTGATCTCAAACCAATAGGTGCCATCAACGACACAGAGTTCGAACTGTATACCAAGAAGCTAGGATGTTCTTTAGTTATCGACAAGACTCCAAATAAAAAACCGGTAAATATGCTTTAAGATTGTAATTAGCTAAGGATCAATAGATTTTTCTTATTATTGTTGGATATAGGTGCGATTAGTCAATAAAGTGGGGGAAGCTGAGTAGGTTGCAACATGTCTATGGTTGTAACAGCTTCAATATTTGCAAAACTTAGTACCCTGGGAAGGTAATTTTAAAAATAGGCATCAAGCAATTTCAAAAAATCAGATCTCCATTAATAGTAGAAAATGAGGCTTCCATGGCACCTCATAGATTTAAACGAAATACTGACATCAGATTCGTAATCTTAAACCTAATTTACTTGACATGTTTTGGTAAAAATAGCAGTTACGAAAGAATTTTGGGAAGGTTTCTTCTATAGTTCACCCAGTAGCACACCTTTAAACTTTTAAATCTCTACAGTGCAAAATTTTCATCCACGCTTTTACAACTAATCGAAACTCGGTAGATTTAGGTAATTTGGCATATTATAAGTATCGCGAAGTCGAGTTGGTTGTAAAAAAACGGCGTCAAGTATATTGATACTATACGTATACATCCGTTGGAGGTTTCAAAGAATAGGGATGAGTCAAATCGTTTCAAAAGGCGAAATCGAATCGTGATTGGTTATGCTCACTTAGGTACGATGAATCTTCGACCTCTGCATATCAAACTGTATAAAGCAAGTCTAACGTATTTCTGTTTTCATGACAGATGTACGGAAAATATGTGTGACTAACAGGTGCATAGTATCACTGAGATCAACAGCTTCTTAATAATAGAAGGTATTTCACTGACACCAAATATGCAACAATTTACAACCGTTTACTACATAGAACTTCCAACCTACAATGTCTGAAACTGAGCAGGAATCTCTGAAGCGTTGTAAGACTATGTTCCAGCGATTTTTTCCCGCCGCCGCCGCCTCTGAATCAATTTTCAAAATCTACGACTAACAAAACCATGCAAGTATTAAAAATTCGCAATATTACTGGGACTTCGATTCACAAGATTTCTGTTGGTTAAAGATATCTGCATCGCACTAGTCCGTGTTTCGCATTTATGTCAGTTTGTCAGTACAAACCGTTGTATATCGACGCGTCATAAGTACTGAGTCAATCTATCTGACAAAATATTCAGAGAACCATCATAGCCGAAGTAAAACAGTTTAAAAGATAGACCAAATGGGTGGTGCATTTGAGGATCATAAAATTCAGAAAATATATGTGTAGATATAATGACAGTTAAGTCATCATTTACAAAAGCGTTGCACAACGTTAAAATGGTACGTACTTCTAATATTCAAATATTGCTAAATTATATAAATATTTTTCCTGTAGCTTTGTCCGTGATGACACTACCGCAGACCAGTTGGAGTTTGTGACCCATTGCACAGTCGGCTATGACCTGCATGATGATGCAGCATCGCGCTGTGCACGCAACGCCAAGGATTGCCAAGTTATTTCGGATTATGAGCACATTATAGGTGTACATACATCTGAATTTTTCATTTAATTTTCCCGTTGTTACAGGGATCAGAAGCACCTTAATGATAGAACCTCTTTGACTAATACTAAAGACGTTACATTTACAACCTTCCCCAACGCCCAAGTTTCAACCTCTACAAATATTTTTCCGAAAATAATCAGGAGTCTCTGAAACGTCAAAAAAAGAAATTTAAGCAATTTTTATTTTTTTCGTATTTTTGCCCCTAGACCGATTTTTAAAAGCTACAAAGCTTTTTCATCCTTGTCTTAGCAGTAAGCATATTTGAAAACTTCATCAAAATCCAGGCGGTACTTCTCAAATTATAGGCGCTTATAAAGCGGACAGACTGGCAGACAAACAGACGGAAATTAAAACATGGTTTTTCGGATTGTACATGTCATATCACATCCAAATACATGATATCTCAATTTAGAAATTTTTCGCGATTACAATACTTCCTCGCCAGTTTTATCATAGGAAGTAAAATAGGACTTTCAATGCGTCTTGCCATTCTCATGCAAAATACTGACATCATATCATAACAATCCATTTAACACAGAACCCAGAAGGTGTAGAGATGAAGGAATTTTAGAAAATTCTCGCTGGAGCTTGCTTCGAACATTTATTACGTTGACGATTATATTTTATTTGCTCTAATCATCTGATGCTTAAGCGTAAAATCTCTCCATAATCAAGGTTACAATGGGAGTCATGAAATGAACACAATGATCTATTTGAAACTGTTTCTTGAACTGATCGAAATTATATTGTAATCTTGTTGGTTATTTCTAGGCAACTCATCCTGCAGACAGAAACTCAATACCCTCCACTCAAAAACCAGACAGGCTTGGTGACATAAACAACGACCCACACCCAGACGGTACTAGGTACCAATACCATGACAAATATCGGCCTCTATATGGTTCAGACCAATACTCAGACGGTACCAGATACCAACATCATGACAGGGATCAACCTCTGTATGCTCCAAGCCATCAATATACTCCTCCACTCAAATCTGGAGATGAGACGCCGGGGCGTGTTGGGAGTGAACTAATAGCTGTAGCCAGTGGGGTTGACACGTATCTGCACCCTGTACATGACATTATCCTCAGCAAAAGAAGTAGGTGTGGAGTATGTGGTGAAGAGCATTTTCAAGGTGAGTTTTTTTATACTGAAGCAGCCGCGCAGGCAGAAGCCCTAACGCGCGGGGCACCGCAACTGTAATAAGGAGGTTAGAGAAACCCTGTTTGTCCGATTTTTGAACCACCCAAGATTACTAGAACTGGGAAAACCCCATCAGACAAATTATTTCACAATCTGGACACCCTAGAAACAAAGGAGCGGTCATACCGGCCAGTTCTGGATGTACGAACTTCGACTCGGTTAGGATGGGAGGCCGAAGTCTGGCGCATCTGTCCGGTAGGCTCGGGAACCGAATTCATGGAGGAGAGCTTTGAGGAGCAAAACCCGTTGACATGGCAGTAGAATAGAACCAGATTGCCAACAGCCTGTCAGGGAGAATGTGTCCCGGTCTCGACCTCCGCTAGAGAGTGTCATCAATAATTCGAACATCCCTCCTTTGAGCAGCATCAAGTATGGACAATGTAGTCGGGGCTGCAGCCTTCACAACATATGAGCAGTACTCAAGGCTAGGTCTTATCGGGGATTTGTACAGAGTGAGGAGGTTATGAGGAGGAAAGTACTTCTTAGTCCTAAACAAATAGGCTTGCTTTGTTTTTTCCGACCACCTACCGCGATTGACGATGTTTTCCTGCCAGATCAAGCCCTAGGTTATCTGGACTCCGACCAGCCAAAATGAACGTCACGGCCAACCATCGAAACCGGATGATCGCTTATACGCTTCTTATTAGTCAAGGTGCAGTACTGTGTTTTAGAAGCATTAAATTGTACCAGATTGTTCCATCCCCAAGCAGTGATTATCTCGAAAAATCTTGCAAGAGAGGAAGTTGTTACTAGTCCCATTCACTCCAGCTCACCGGCAGTGATTGTATAGTAGATAGTAATTGATCGTACAGGAAAGGAGGTCGTTGATATGTAATAAAAACAAGGGAATGAAGACCTATCCCTGAGGAACACACACATTGCCGTTGTGAGATGAAGAGGAGAACCCGTCAATACGACGGATATCTTGCGACCAGAGAAGAAGTCAGCCGCACATTTGCATAGCTCATCTGGAAGTCCATAGGATGGACAAGAGCACACCAAAGAGCAGAGCATATTACACCTGAACGAAAGCTTCCGTGATATCCAGAGCAACGGCACGAGCCTCACCATGTGACTGGACGAATTTGCTTCATACTTGTGTGACATAAGCTAGGAGGTCCCGGTAGTTGACTGGTGTCGGAAGCCATACTGTCTGTCGCAAATCAAGCCGTGATGTTCGAGATACTCCACAAGTTCCCGATTTATGCACTTTCCTCTGGCCTTACTTATAACAGAAAGCAGAGCTTTAGGTCTGTCTTAGATCACTTTCTTTGGGACGACCTGGACATGAGCAAATTTCCAATTCTCTGGGAAAGTACCGTACTCATAAATTAGATGCTACATCTTGACAATTCCAGCTAGAGAATTCAAAATCTTAGATGAAGCTTCTCTGGTGTACAATCTACATATATGGCACATCTGATCCTCATAGACCGACTTAACTTTGGTAAACTGTACGTCATAGACGTGTCTAGCTGGAAGGGTAATTTCTTGGTTGATACTAATGAAAAAAGTCATATTAACATAGATCCGGCAATGCTTCTTTTTTTGAAATGTCATTGTTTTGTAAGAGTTTTGTAGAAGTTTGTTGCAAAAAATTGATTAATTTAATAGTTTTATTATCAGCAAATATAGTTCTGTTCACGATTTTTGGTGGTAACGTCACAATGCCATACGAAATAACTTAACAGGATGACTGATGATTTCATGTGCGTAGCTTAAATTTTCTAAGGAAAATTGCTCATAGCGCAAGCTGATCCGTAATGCAGTTATTACTCGCTCACACACATAAACTGCTTGAAAATACTTAGATAGATTTTCGACGTTGTAGTTGCATCGTCAGGAGCTACTATATTTTATATCAAAGATCAACATGGGTAAACACAGATCACACGCTCATGACAAGCAAGTTGTCCTACTGTCAGTGACAAGCATAAATCTGGAAGACACGTACGTTGGCGAGAAAATGTTCATGGTGGCAAAACAAAACCAAAAAACGGCTTTGAGTATACATAAACAAACGTATAGAGGTCGATTGGATATTTATGTGTGAGGAGGTGGATATTGAAAGTGCTTCTTGTAATTCTACTGTAACCCGCCAAAAACCATGGCCGTTTAGATAATTCGACAAATGTTAGTAAAACAGTATAAAATATTATATCTACGACAAACCGAACTTAAAAAAATGACATCCTTCACCATGGCAATGAAGCATTACCAAAACTATGCTCATTTATATTTATGCTAACTGTATCCAATAATTATAACAAGTCAATCAAACTTCGGCACGCGATTATTCGATCTCGATCAAATTTAAAATTATGGTGGATGTATAGTGATCAGAAAATGGTGCATGTGTTCGGATAGAAAATAATTTTGTGGTGTAATTTCTAACAGAATGCCGGTTATTATACGATTAATACAATTTCAAACATTCACTTATGATTATTCAAATTTCAACATTTTAGGTGAAGCGCATTCGCATTTTGCTTCTGACAGCTATTACAAGTATCCTCCACCAAATCGTGGATCATGGTATGGAGAGAAGCCCAGTGATCATCTTGATCGTGACAATAGGCCAGTACAGGATGTCCCAGCAAAGCCTGACTTACCCTCGTATCGTCCTGATGATCGGTAGGTAACAGATCATTTTTTTTTAAATTAAGCAAAATTAAATAGTCCGGGATCCTGTGTACCGAAATATAGGGCTGTGTTGCCAGGTATAGTTGATCTGTTTTCGGTAGATCTGTGCGAAATTTTTGTGTAGATCATAAAACTTTTGGGTAGACGATAAAGCAAAAGCAAAAAAAAAGAGGGAGGACCTTACCAGAAATGTACTATTCAAAAATTTGAGAAATTTCTCATTAAAATCGGTAACTACCGATCGCGGTAGAATATGACTAAGAACGGTAGACCTGGTAATGTTGGTTTGGGATGGCGGGCTAAATCAACGTTGATAATACCGACTTGAATATCATTCAGAAGTCATCTTCACGAAGTTTATAGAGTTGTTTACTCGACTACCTACATTGCTTTGCAAATAAAAGTATTTGCCCACTAGGAACATGCTAGGATTGTGCCATATCCATGTACCAAAATGGAAGAGATCATTTACTGCTGTGCACAATGGGGATATCTGAAATTTGCGGGTATATTTGATTATTGATCCCTAGTGTAATTCTCTCTGTTCAGTGGCAAAGTTTTTTGGCCGTAACATACTATGGTTTTCTTAAAATCTGACATTTTTGTTTGACCAATCTGCACAAATGAATCAGACGTTCAAACTTTGGATGTCTGTTTTTCGGTTTCATGTTAACTGAAGCATAACACATTGTACACCATTGGTTACGCGTCGTAACTTTGTATCGTCGCGAAAGCATCCCTTCATATTCAAAGAGAAGCCGCCTAAGGCAGTGGTGGTGGTACATACATGATATACAAGTATGTTGGTACCAAAATTCCCTTGGCAGTTTCACTTTCCCCCCTAGGCACTTCACTCCCGGTGAGCCAGGACTCCGTTGATCCGCTTCTACGTGTCGCACAATCCTAGTATAATAAATGATATATTGGACAGCGATCTTAAGCATTATATGCCACTAATAATAATTCCTATTCATAACGACTTTTTTATTGGACTTGTTTTAGCTTATCGCACATATCCCATAACTTAAAGTTGATGAATCTGAGCTCCAAGTTTCCTTCTGGGGCATTAAACTCATCAAATAACACTATTTCGCTACATAACGGCTTCTGATCATATTATTAATATATTCATTCCAACGAATGACGTCAGCTTACTGTATATTTTTTTTCTATGAGCAATTTTCAACGTTAATAGACGTATATATTAGAACGTTATACTAATAAGCTTTGTCTTTGCAGATATGATTATTGGCCAGATAGAAAACCACCTTATACTCTTCCTGCTTACGGTTCACTAATCCCTCATCCAGATGAATATTATGGAACACCACCTGAACATAACTATCTTGGTAAACCACCAGATACTGACAGGTACCGTTGTGATTGTAATGAGAAGCATAAGCTTACCTAGCAAAGAGTGACATATTTAAAGCGTCTAGGCAAAACAACACACATTTAATTTATAGAAACAACATAAACTACTTTATACTCATCAGATCCCCACCTCCCACTGGTGTTAGCTCCACTAAAAGAATAATCGTATAAACCACGTCAGATTTTTAATATCTTTTCTGAAATTATAGGGCATTAAGGATAATTTCGATTAACTTTGTTTGTTTCAGATTTATTTAGCATTAATGCTACAATATCCATAATATCTATCTTATACAATATATCACAAAATATATTATGTCTTCAAGACTACATATTTTTATACAAAATTTCACTACTATGAATTCTGGTTTTCCATGAGATATTTTTTCAATTTCCCTTTGAATATTTTCAAACTGACACACATCTTGATATCATTACTTATTTTATTAAATTCGTACAATCCCTTTTAAAATACTGACTTGCTCGTCATATTGCTACTGCAGTTTTGGTAACGAAAGTCTATACTTCCTCTAGTATAATAATTGAGGCACTCATTGTTCAATACAATAAAATATTCTGTGATTTGGTAGAAGATGATTTTTTATCTTGAATATGAAAACGAAAACCAAGTATTCTATGAAATTTTTGATATTTAACCATTGTAGTTCTTTCAGCATAAAATTTATTCTAGTATATTTATTTTTATTTAAGATGATTCTCATAGCTTTATTTTGTAACATTTGTAATTTTGAAAATACTGTTTCGTTTGCAGTGAACAAAATAGTCGAACAATATAACAAATGAGGAAGAATGATAGTGTTGTACACATTTTTTTAGAAGCGCTTAGGCTATGCGAAATTCTATAAAAGTAATGTATTTTCTTGGATATTTTTGAAACAATATATTCATAGTGCCCTTCAAATTTTAATTTACTGTCTACGTATATGCCCAAATATATAAATGAATCAATTGACACAATTTTTTCATGATTAATGGTAAGATTTATCATATTTTGATCTAAAGATTTTCTTATTAGCATATATTTTGTTTTGTTTGTGTTTAGTTTAAGTTTATTTACATTTAACCAATTTATGACGTTTTTCATCATTATTTAACAGCTCTATTGCAATTTCAATGTCTTTACTTGAATATATATATATATATATATATATATATATATATATATATATTAATGTATCATCAGCAAATAGTTGAATCTTGCAGTGTTGTAAAATATCAGGAATCTACATAATATATAAAATAAATAGTAATGGACCTAATTTGCTCCCCTGTGGCACACCTACCGAAATGTTTTTAATGCTTGATAAAGTATTGCCAATTTTAGTTATTTGACTTCTATTGATTAAATAATTTTGTAATAAATTGAATACTGAACTTTGAAATCCATAGCAATGCAATTTCGTTAACAACTATTACAGAAACTTGCTAAAAAGTCAGTCAAGCTGCTGCTTCATCACTGGCAGCTTAATTCAGAGAAAAGAAAAGTTACCATTGATGGTCGACATGATGTTGATGGTGCGTAATCTTTACAGATATCCAGATTATTCATCATACAAGCCCAATGACCGCCCAGAAGACTACCACTACTACTACTACGACCCACCGACACCCTTACCTGTCAAACCATCTGGTTATTACTACGAAACACCTCAGAAACCCACCTTTTACGAAGACAATAATCCCTCAACACCTCAATTGCCTCCAACAGAAAGGCCTTTGCCTCCACCTGTAACTCCAGAAGTTACTTCACCACCAAGGCCCATAGAAGGAGATAGAAGGGATGACAAGCCAGAAGGTGGAGATTGTAAGGGATGCTTACCAAATGGAGGCAAGTCGATCGTCACACATATTGTGGGAAAGCATGGGCAGCAGGTTACTTCTATTATCACTGATATCACCAATAAAGGCAATGCTGCAACAAGTAGAGACAACGGTGAGTATGATTCACTCGGATCTGTTGTTTGTTGCCGTTTCATTAAATTTTCAGAGTCGTGCAAAGGTGTGTTTCCAAATTCGTGGGAAAAGGTTCTCGCGTCACATTCACCAAAAAGTATTAGATTGTTTTTTAACCTACAAAAGTGTTTTGAACAACTGAATTACTTAAATGTAACAAAATTATTTAAGTTTCACTTATTATGTTTTGTGCACAAATTTAATTCACATTATTATCTTCATTTTTAAGACAAGCTAATACGTCGTGGGTGTACCCTCTCAAAAAAAATTCGTTTTGTGAATACGTTAACTATGCCTCTTCCATAAGTGCTTTGCTTATAATGTCATTATACTATGCATTATTTACCACCTGCGAAGCTTCTGAACGTCAACGATTTGAGCAACACATTTAAAGACAATTATCACACCTCATTTCTTTAAATTATGAACACAGACTATGCAGATCCTTTTAAAACAATTTTGATATCATGAGTGGATTTATGTGATATACTAAGTGACATAAATCCGAACACCCAGTTTAAATGGTTTTATTTTAATAAAAGTTGGTAAATGTATACTAAGTGACATATAAATCCGAACACCCAGTTTAAATGGTTTTATTTTAATAAAAGTTGGTGAATGTATTTATCTTACTGTAAATGACAAGTGAAAAAATTTTCAGCCTTATCAGTTGGACATTCCGGTTTTTATACTGCTTTTTTTAATTCATTAACGCTCTAAAATGAATATTTCAGCCTCAGTAAAGAATCAACGTTGGCGGATTTTGGTTCTTGACATCCTTTACGATCGGTTACGATGCCTAGAGTACGGAGACCTGTACGATTTCGTCAACTTAGTGAGTTTGATAGGGGCCGTATAGTGAGACTTCGGGAAGCTGGACTTTCTTTTCGGGCAATTGCAGTTAGAGTGCAAAGAAGTGTAGGTGTTGTCAGGCATGGTTTCGAGAAGGCCGTACGCAAAGAGCAAGGGGCATGCGAAGTGTTTACCGACTAATGAGAAGCTTTGGCTTGTTTTCATACCGGCCACACTGTGTCCTCCCTTTAACTCGAGAACACCGACATAATCGCCTTGAGTGGTACAGACAACGGTCACTCTGGGATCAGGAATGGAACAGTATTGTCTTTAGTGACGAGTCTTGATTTTGTTTAGGCATGCACGATGGTCGTGCCAGGGTTAGAAGGCGACGTGGTGAAAGGAGGAATCCACAGTTTTTTGTTGAAGGACATGTTCATCACACTGTTGGAGTTATGGTTTGGGGTGCTATAGCTTATGGTTCCAGGTCACCTTTAATCTTCATCAGAGGTAACATGAACGCGCAGCGTTATATCCACGAAGTTCTAGAACCCCATCTTTTACCCTATCTTGACACCCTGGCAGATCCAACTTTCCAACAAGATAATGCCCGACCACATGTTGCAAGAGTCACAATAGACTTCTTTCAACATAATGATGTCACATTGTTACCATGGCCACCAAGATCTCCCGACTTATCCCCAATTGAGCACGTGTGGGATATGGTGGGTAGGAGATTGCTCAATTTTCAACGTCCTCCTCAGACTCGCACTTCGAGAGGAGTTGGTGGTTGCCTGGAATGAGATACCACAGGAGGACATTGACCACCTGATCAGAAGCATGCCTAGGCGCATTGGAGAATGCGTAGCACATCAGGGTGCATCCACACATTATTAAAGGTCAAAGAGCTTTATAGCAATGCAATCATTTTGAAATTTTTATCATTTACTTATTATGCTTCATTAAGTACTTATACAAAATTTTATTAAAATAAAACCATTTAAACTGGGTGTTCGGATTTATATGTCTCTTAGTATATTAGTATTATCCAGTATTTCTGCTTGACACTCGTTCGAACGGTCAAAATTAGAGTTGTTTTTAATCATGATGACCGCAACTGAGAGAGATTCTAGAGATGTTGAGAAAGTAACTATTCATTACCCGAATATTTGTTACTTATGTATACCCGAGGTAACGAGTAACAATTCCGAGCACCAAACGATTATTATTTCGATTACTCAGTTTTCCGTACCCGTACAGTGCAAAATTATTATGCTTCATTAAGTACTTATACAAAATTTTATTAAAATAAAACCATTTAAACTGAGTGTTCGGATTTATATGTCACTTAGTATATTTATGTAATACTACCGTTTAGAAGATACGTACTATAATATACATATTTTATTCTATTATATATATTATTGATGTTAATTTATTTTTGTTAAGGGTTAAGCAGTAGAATATACAAAGTGTTAAAAAAGTATGTAGACAAACTTTAACCATCGAATCATTGGTCAATTTGAAAACGAAATTTCCATATAAAAATGGGTCCGCCACGGCTTTGTTTTAAAGCTAAAGCATATTAGCACTAAAAGAAATGATTATATTGTTCTAAAAAATTATAAAAGAATGGAACTATTGATTAAGTATGCCTTGTGGTGAATATCACATGATTTACAGTTGTTTTACGAATAATATTATCCAGTATTTTTTGAAAACATATCATGACATTGATTTGTTTTGAACGCAATACTTTTAATATTAGTCATGTCTGACCATACAAAATACTCCAGGTATTTTCAGGAGAGTTCGTCAGTCAATATGTAACAGACTAGACGCCTGTATTGAAGTCGAAGGTGGCCACTTTGTATATTTGTTGTGAAACAACTATACGATATTTTCTATTGTTGTCGTTCTATTCGAATGTTCGTGTTCAAAACTATTGACCTTCTAAATAATTTTTTTTCTAAAAATACAGGATAATACTATTTTCATCCACGTTTATATTGAGCCTCAGTAACTTGTAAAACATGAAAAATTTATTATAGGTTATACCAACTGTTCAATAAATACGTTTCATTATTCATAGAAATATTACTCGTATTTCTTTAGTGATAGTGCTCTAGCTCGAAAAGAAAGCCGTTAGGGATCCATGTTCATATGAACATTTAGTCTTCAAATTGACCAAGGATTCGATGGTTAAAGTTTGTCTACATACTTTATTAACACTCTGTATATAACCTAAAACTTTGCCCTAATTATCATGATTTAAGTAAAAACGACTTCCAGGTTTTATTTTGTTCTGAGTACGGCTCTGTGTTTATTTAGCCTTCACTGATCATTAAACTTTACTGCACAAGATATGTATCATGATGACGCAATCATCGTTTAAAAGATTGTTGGGGTGTAAATACGTTATTATACTGTTAAATCAGAGGAAAATATGCAAATATGTAGCATAAAACCACCTAGACAGGCCGGCTGACATCATGTCGTAAATTGTTTATTAGATCGCCAATGATAGTCCAGTAACAAGAAATTCTTAGCCTGTGCTAATTGTGCGGGTTGCCTACCACGAAGTCTGCGACTCAGTGTGATATTTTTGATTGTCTGGCGTGCGCCCTAAATTGACTTTACGACGCTGCTACAAAGATGACATTTACTAATTGAGCCTCATCTAAGCCAAGTCCCGTATGCTACCTATAAATCGTCACGATTTTGTTCCAAAAGCAAACCAGGGTATTTCGTAACTAAATATCAATATTCAAGGGCAATTTTTGAACCTATTTCAAGACGAAAACTTCATATGAACATGTCCTAATCCCCTAACTTTTGAGATACAGGATTTGATCCTTCGATTTTTTCAATTCGATGCATGGTTTTCGCTTAAAAAATATAAAACGATTTTCTGCATGATCATAGCAACATTGTCAGTATGACGATATCACCATACAGAGAAATACGTTTTATTTCTTTATGTGAAAACCGTGCGTCGGCCTAAAGAATTTCTAGAAAACAAATCTGCTCACAAATGAATACAGATTACAATATATTTTTATTTTGAGAAAAGTATTCCAAGTGTTTCAAATTCGACCCTCACCATTGGGATCTCAGAAACCGAAAGAGTTGTAAGTCGCTTGAATGGGGGCGTATTTAGGTGATTAAAAAAATGCCGCTTAGATGGTTTCCAAATTCAAAGTCCTTCCGGAGCGAGACAGAAAGAACTGAATTTTACCAAAATTGTTTCAATTCTTTCTTAACTTTATTTGTAGTAGGATTTCAAAGTACATTACACTACAATTGCTTTTTCTTCTCTACAAGATGTCATATGTTAATCAGATTTTCAGTATGACGCTTCGTCTCTTGTTCTCCAGCAACAACTTATGTTTAATTATGTACGCTATATTGGAGTTTTGCACAGATGAATAGCGTTTTTAATTCTGATTCCAAAAATGTCTAATACGTAATATATTGACATTGTCAAACCTTACTTATGTTACTAGGCCTTAAAATTATCAGACAGTCATACCAGGTTTATCCCAAATTTTTCGTATATTTGAGATGAGATTCAAAATAATTTGCATATTGCCATTGTTACTCATTTTTCTCTACAAGATGGAGTAGTCAAATTTTCAATTCGAGGTTTATTCAGTCGTAAATTTAATGATGTATTTCCGTAGTTGACCATGAATTTACAGTTAGATGAAAATTATAAGGAAATAAAAAAGTATGGTAAAACCTGAACACAAAATAAATTTGAGATATTAGAGTAAGAGTATGTTAATAAACAAAAATTAGGAAAATATGGGCCTACCGTCTTGATTCATTTCTTTATTACAGTTTTAATTTTTGTAGTATGCCCACAAGGTCTAATTCATTTGTTATAATAATATTGAGTAAATGAACTTGTTTTAAGGTGAAAGCTTCCATTCTGCTCGAATAAATAACATCTTTAAAAATCATGATCGTGCTACTTTAACTGCGTACGCTGCCTGCCTAATTGGTGGATCATACATAAATGCTACTACTACAAAAATAAGGGTCTTCAGAAGAACTAAACAATCCGCGGAAGCATATAGCGGTCTCTTATAAACAAGCCACAATAACGCTTTTTATGAGAAAATAGTCATTTTCAATCGTCCTCTGGTTGCCTTATTAGGTCCTTGCCTGTCTCGGAACGGATGT